GCATTATATCCAACTTCTTCACTTTTTTGGTTCACTATATTCACAAAAATAACATTGTACATGTATAGCAAGGCACGAGACCGAACATTTCGTTCACAATATCCGGGAGTTTTGTTGAGATACCTGAAAGTGCAACGCTTTCGGAACAAGAATTCTGAAATGGTTTGGGCTGAAGTGTCAAATAACGGAAAATTTCCTCGGAAATTCATCGATAAAGGGGCAAAAATCAATACTGAATATCACAAAAATTAAGTATTGGCTACGCATTTGTTGCCACATGCTGACAGATGGTATCCAAAAAAGGATTGGCTATTTCAGCAAGATTCTACACCGTCACACCTAGCTAAAACAACACGGGCTCGGCTCCATGTCGATTGTACGAAATTTATTAAGCAAAAAAATTTGCTCCCATCTTCACCAGATCTAAATCTTTAAACTATTGTGTTTGAGGTATGCTAGAGTCTGAAGTTATGCTAAGCAGCACAGAAATTTGGACTCCCTCAGAGCTTCTTTATTGCATGAATGGAACAAATTACCTCTTAAAATGATTCGTGCCGCCATCGGACAATGGCTTAAGAAATTATTTTTAGCAATCGATAAAGAAGTTTGAGATTCGAATAAATTTTAAGGTAAATTTCCATTTAGTGTTCATCATATTTGTGTATTTATTATTTTCCATTAAATATTTGTACAACAAAATGATTCGATATTTGTAACAATATTTTATAGCCACCATTAGTTTCAACGGAATTCAAAACGATAACTTTATTACATTTACAGCCTTCCAGAAATCGTCAAAGAATTGTTACCATTCCTCGGATTGAAATTACTGAACCAGCAGAGGATGTTATGGAAACAATAGAGGTTTTCAACAGGTATTTAGAAAGACCACCCTCTTACGAAGACCTGGATCCACCACCGTATGACGTTGCAGTCCAGATGTGAACTTCGTGGCCAATTATGTGAATAGAAAAACCTGGGCGAATTGTTTTTAAAGAGTTGTAATATCATAGTTTTTAAGCTCATTTAAATGTGCGATAAAATATTTTATTGCATACAGATTTGTATAAAGATTAAGAATAAAGAACAAAATAAAGTGTTTTAAAATACATTGATTGGCGTACATTTTATCTTATCTAGCTTGTAATAAACTTGTTTTTTTCCCCCTCAGTTATGGAATTTAAAAATTCGTTGTCGAAACAGGTTTTTTATTTTATAACCGGTGTTGAACAGCAGACTCAATTCTGAGTTTATGGCTCAACTAATAATCTGTATTGATGTTGGAGGTGATTATACTGAAGGTACTTTTCGTACTCCAAACTGACACATTTCCTATGTATGCTAATTTTAGTAACAAGATAATTATCAGTTCAATACATAACTATCTGGTAAATTATAATCTGCACTATAATGTGGGACAGTTTCTTTAAACAGTAACTTTTCAAATTCTGGTATTTCTTTTTCTTTAATTTATGAAAATCCGTTTATTTATTCTAGACAGTTCAAGCAATAAAATTTTATCTAGGTTATGTGGTCACATAATAAATTGTTTTAAAGGTTAATTATTGGCACACTATAAAATACTTTGTCTTTTACTATCCTATGATATACAAGACTCTCAGCGGCGCGACAGCCCATAGAGGGCCAAGGCCTACTGTGCCCATCTAAGTTTTCTTGACCTTGGGCTCTGAGGTGCAGGAGCAGATGTTCCGGTCAGGTGGTCAGTCGGACGCGGACCCCCAGTGTTTAGTTCCAAAGCATGCTTGGAACTCATTTATCGACCCATTGAAGGGATGAAAGGCTGAGTAAACCTTGCCCGGCCCGAGGATCGAACCAGGGACCTGTGGCACGACAGCGCGAAGCGCTACCGCTCAGCCACCGGGTGTTATGATATACAAGAAGCAAGGTTAAATTACCGCTCTCATTTGATCAATTTCAATTAGCACACAATTTCAATTTCTGGTGTAATATGTCTTATTATATATAAATACTAAATGATAGGCTAATAAGAAAGAATGCGATCACCCTAAATTCAAAAGCTTTGCATTTAGAAGGTCTAATTATCTACTATAATATTAGGTCACTCACCCGAGATCCCCCATGTTCTAATCCCAACGATGGCTGGTCTATACGAATTCCGAAATTTTTTCTTCAATTTTTGTTTATTAACCGAGAGACTTTTAATTACTTCACCGGATTTTTTTTTTTTTCTTTTTAGCTCTATATTTTAAGCACATCATCTGTTTATTGCGGACGAGTTCATATCACGTCAGTAGGTCACCAATAAGGGGATGTTTAATTCGACCATGTCAACCTTCATCTATCAAAAGGTACCTCCAGATAAAATTAACATGCCTTATATACTAGTGAATTGGTATTTAAGATTTATAGTGGTAGTNTCTCTAGTATGAACAAGATAGTGTCCTTCAACAAACAAAATATTCTTCCTATTTATTTCTCCGGCAAGGAGAATGAAATCTCACCAATCTTCTAGCTAGATGTTCTTATCTAATAGTTCCTCCATCTGGGGGAGAACTCTGCATTGAAATACAAAATAACCAAATATGTGCGAGACAGGAAGAAAAGTTTTCTAAGGATTTACTATACGTAATTAGAAATACTTCCTAAAAATCATTTATTTCCTGAATAAGAGGAAAAAATTGAAACTATGTTAGGACAACCCACAGTTTTATGCTAAGGAAGATTGCTAAAATGTGTTTTAAGCTAAGGAAGATCACTTGTGTTTTGACGTAAATCTTCTTTTTTTATTTGATGTTTGAATAAATATCAGCTTACTATAATTTTTTAGCTAAGCATAAATATTTTTATTTTTAAAATATGTGGTTGAATCTATCAAAATTTGATTTTTTTATGTAGAAATTATGTTAAAAAAATAAATAGAATTCCTAAAAGAAGTTTTCTAATTAATGAAGTTATCAAACTGTATTTTCATAGCATGTAAGTTCATTAGCTGGAAAAAAATTGGTTAATTAACTTTGGCTAAATAGTAACTATTCTTTTAAACTAAAAAGTCGTTCCTAATACAGTAAAAATCATAATTTGTTCAGGAAAAGATAGTAACATCATGTCTACATATATACAGTTTAATGAATAAATATTATATGCTAAATCTAAGAATCATGTGCACTAAATATAAAAACCATTGACAGAAAGATTAATCAAATTCAATTAAAAAATATCGATATTTTATATCAGATAATTTATTTTCTAGATTCAGTAGTTTTTATATCAGAAAATTACGAAATGTATTCTGAAATTAATAATGAAACTAACAGTGAAACTACATAAACATTAAAATGAAATAAGCTATTGATGTTAAATATTAATTAAACTATAATGATTGTGACATAAAAATAAATTATTAAAATTAAATAATTATTGAATATAAAAATTTTCATTTCTTCTGTCGAAAATAATTATTTTTATTTCTGCTCCAGCAATTAAGTAAAAAGTAATAAAATTCAAAAAAGGTTTTTTAAACTTTTCTGACATTTTTTATATATTAAGAAAATAAAAGCAATACATTAGAATGTGAAAAACAACAATAATATATTCTACCATTCTATTACGGAATAGAGATTTTGTCTGCTCTTTAACTTACCAGAATGGAATTCGTAATCATCTCACACTGGAATTTAATTCCAGTATCAAAAGTTCGTAATAAAGCCATACTGACATTCACGGAATTCTAACGTCATGAGAGTATCATTCTGGAACGGAATTTAATTCCATAGAGCTGTAATAAGAGTCCCAGAACAAAAATAAAATGCTAAAGAGCAAAACCTGATTAACTTCCTGATCTGAAAGGGAAAGTATTAAGTGTCTAATCAAAAATTGGTGATGACAATGTCACATAACTAGAATAAAACAAAAATTCATGAAAGAAATAAAAATTTCATAAAGATGTTTTCTAAAAAAATAACTTTCAAGAGAGATTTATTTTATTAATTCTCAAGCACATAATTTTCACCCAGTAAAATAAAATATAATTGATATTAGTAATCTAATAATAGAGTCTTCGTAATTTTGCAGAAGAAATTAATTAACGTCAAATATGCTAGTTAAGAAGTGCATGCGATATTTTAAGTTATGAAATCAGACACAAAAACACACCTTTTTGAAGTTTGGATCAATTATGTTATTTTTATCTCTTTAAATATTTTGCGAGGAGAATTTTTAAGAATTTTTTAAGCAAATTCAAAACTTCATACACACAATTATAAAACTCTTTTATGCAATAATTCCATTCAAAAAATAACTTTTCTTAATATTTATTGTTTTTAGTTAAGAATGGTCAAAAAAAATTTGAATTGTAAGGTATAGAATTTTTTGCATCATCCAGACCTGCTAACCTTAGAAAATAAAAAAGCAGGAGACTCTTTCTGTATCACGACATAGCGCAATATTGAAAATTAAACCTGATTCACATTTCTTACTAGAAGTTTATTTCAAAATATATTACTTACATTACATAAAAAGGTTCTTTAGAATTATATTAAAACACATCTTTTGATTTTTTTAAATTTAGGAAGAGGTTCAAAATTAGCAAAATATGTCAATAATAAATACAATACTTTATAAATGTATTTCTTCTTATTATTATTTTTTTTATAACTGCTACTGTTTTAAAACTGCAGATGTTGCTGATTTAGCAATATTTAAAAAAACTGCCATCTATAGAAAGTGAAAAAACATTTTGCCTAATGGTATCCAAGATATATTTCCTCTCCGATTTTGCCATTTCATTTGTTATTGCTGTTGTTTTGGTTCACACACACCGTAATTTTTAGCGATGTTGCTATTGAGGGAATTTTTTCCAAATAAATGCCCAGCATGATCTAAAGCACAAGTTGGGAAGGAAATTGCACAAATTGTTTTTTCTTCCCCTCTATCCTGAACTAAATAGAAAAAAGCAGGAGAAAACACCCTGAAGGCCTCAGGGCGAAGATTTGAGCTAAAAGCAGGAGAGTTGGCAGGTCTGCATCATCTTAAAGAATGAAATTTTACATGTCAAAATACACGAAATTTGTGAAAAATCGGTTATAAAGTTCCTGACCAACTGAATTTCGTAAAGACAGATATTTAAATGATCCAGAATATTTAAATGTTTTATTTTATACGCAGCATGCGGTTTCTCTTCAATAGAAACAACAGCTTTAACTTAAGTGTTCTTTCTCAGTGATTATTTTAACATATAGGAACTGTGTGTATGAAGAAAATAGTAGTAAGAAGAAAGATACTGCATAAAAGTACCGATCCAGTATGCACAAAAGAATGTTCATTTAAATATATTATCTGTGAGATTGTTTTATCACACAGATTACACGATTAAGGTTTTTTCCTAGTATGAACAAGATAGTGCTTATTTAAACTTCCTTTCTGATTAAATGTTTTATCACATGCACTACATGAATAAGGTTTCTCCCCAGTATGTACAAAAGAATGTTCATTTAAATTTCTTTTTTTAGAGAATGCTTTACCACATACACTGCATGAATAAGGTTTTTCTCCAGTATGCACAAGAGAATGTTCATTTAAATATATTTTCTGCGAGAATGTTTTATAACACACATTACACGAATAGGGTTTCTCTCCAGTATGAACACGATAATGATGGTTTAAACTACCTTTTTGTTTAAATGTTTTATCACACAGACTGCAGGAATAAGGTTTCTCCCCCGTATGGGCAAGAGTATGTTCATTTAAATAAAGTTTCTGTGAGAATGTTTTATCGCACAGATTGCATGAATAAGGTTTCTCTCCAGTATGTATACGATTGTGTTGCTTTAAACTTCCTCTCTGTTTAAATGCTTTATCACACACACTGCATGAATAGAGTTTTTCTCCTGAATGAACAAGAGAATGTTCATTTAAATTTCCTTTTTTGGAGAATGTTTTGCCACACACAGTGCAGGAAAAAGGTTTCTCTCCGGTATGTACAAGAGCATGATCATTTAAATATCTTTTCTGGGAGAATTTTTTATCACAGACATTGCATGAATAAGGCTTCTCTCCAGTATGAACAAGATAGTGTTTATTTAAACTACCTTTCTGTGTGAATGTTCTATCACACATATTGCATGAAAAAGGCCTCTCTCCAGTATGAACACGATAGTGTTCACTCAAGTTTTTTTTGTGTGAGAATGTTTTATTGCATACATTGCATGAAAAAAGTTTCTCTCTAGTATGAACAAGATAGTGTGCTTGTAGGTTAAATTTCTGCGAGAATGTCTTATCACACACATTGCATGGATAAGGTTTCTCCCCAGTATGAAGAAAAGAATGTTTATTTAAAGTAAATTTGTATGAGAATCTTTTATCACAAATGCTACATACATAAGGTTTTTTTCCAGTATGAACAAGAGAATGTGCATTGAAATGAGATTTCTGTGTGAATCTTTTATCACAAATACTACATATATAAGATTTTTCTCCAGTATGAGAAAGTTCATTTATGCAAATTTCTTGTGAGGATGTTTTATCACACATTTTACATGAATGAGGGGATTTTTTTTACTGATACAGCATGAATAAGGCAACTTTACAGGATGAACATACCAAATGATGTGAAACTGTTACAATATGCACTACTCGAATAAGAATAACATATGATGGTATTTATATAACCATTACTTGGTATTTTAACGCGAGTAATATGATTAAATAGTATAGTTATGCATATTTTTTTTATCAACTTACAACATGAATTGCATAAAATAACTTAAGTGGTCATTTCGAAGATGGTCACAGTGTTTTCAAGTGTATTTATGTTATGTATATTTATTATTTTTGTATACAACTTAATATGTTTTTAATAAAATGTCAAAGAGAATTTTTCAGGATGTAAATGGTTAAGTTTCTGCTCACAACAAAATATATATTTTCATATAAATAAGACACTTTGGATGGATAAAGCTTCCGTATGGCGTGAACTAAATCTTTCTTTCTTTTTTTTTTAAATTATCTTTCTGTCGAAACTCTTACTGCACAAACTTTTAGAAAGGTGTCGCTTCACGACTAATAAGTTTTATCACACTTATTGCCCGAATAATACTTTTGGGATAAACAAATAAACCATGTACATACAATACTTATTGTGAAAAATGTACGTATCTAGCAAGCAAACATTTTTCAGAAAATCATTCTCATGCGATTGAGAACCCGATAACAAAAATTATGTCAAATATTACAACATTATTTCATAGTCAGAGAACAGAAATTATTCAACTATTAATGTTGATACTATCGACCGATATACACTCTTTTTAGAATCAAAAATATGATTTTCAACTATTTGTTTATATCGGATCGAGTGCTTAATATTGAATATGCAAAAGTTTCCGACTGCTTATTTTCTCTCAACACTTATTTCGTTGAACAACTTTGAGCAGAAATTTAAGTTGAGAAATGTATAGCCGATCGATGCGCCATCTGGGGAAAAGATCGGTTCCATGCCTTTGACCCTCCTCCCTTTACTCTCCTCCTTTTCAGTTATGTAGGAATGTACTACGATATTTTTCCTTTTCTTAATATTTACTATAAAATTATTTTTTTACATTCTATGACACCTTCTTTTAGAACTATATTTAATGTAGTTTTCAATTCTATTTAGTTTTCCAACTTAAAAGATTTTTATCTATATGAAAATCAAGACAGAAACTAACGTACAAAAAAATTTTGTAGTCAAAGAACATTTTACTTGGGGATTCTCTGGTTATATAAAGCAGGTAAGTGTTATAGTTTTGTAAAAAAAAAATTACTTGTAAATATTTTTTTATTCCCAGTGTTGTTGTTCATTTACGTCGCACTAGAGTTGCACAATGGGCTATTGGCGACGGTGGTCTGGGAAACATCTCTGAGGATGATCTGAAGACATGCCATCTCAATTTTGATCCTCTGCAGAGGGGATGGCACCCCCGTTTCGGTAGCCCGACGACCTGCACGCGAAGTCAAGCACTTTACGGTAGAACAGTTTAACGAGGACAAATACCGCACACCCTCGGTCCCTACGCAGGCTGATCCAAGTGGTCACTCACCCGCACACTGACCGTAGCCAGTGATGCTTGACTTCGGTGATCTGCTGGGAACCGCGTCTTAACGATCAGTCCACTGCGGGACTTTATTCCTAATTTGATGATAGTTTCGGACAGAATGGATTTCTGCATCTAATTAAGAATTTTGATTCTTTATTTTACGTTTTTTAGTTTATTAATGATATCCCATTAAAAATCTAAACTTTTCGATGAAAATAATTGTCTGCAAAATAAAATATATACGAGTTTATCACTTATATCAGTGTTTTTGTATACTTTATATAATTTGATTTTAAAAAAAAACTGTGTTGTAAAATTTTAATAGACTCGATCTTCATATTAGATCATGAAGTTTAGTAGAAAAGTTTTTCAAGAATTAGGCTTTTTCTTTCAGAATATATAGATACATATTATTTTTACAAGAATATATAGATACATATTATACACCATGTGGAAATGTAAAACAATATCTTCTGAAATACATTGAAAAACAACTTGGATTTAGGATAAAATCGTGACGAACAAACGGCGTCAAAAAGTGATTATTTAAATGTGAAACTCGCATGCCATAATATATTTTCCCAGTGGGGGGGGGGGGGGGNCAGGGGGGGGGGGGGGGAGACGGGTCGAAAGTTTTCCAATTTTTCTAAGTAATATTCTAAGAAAATATTTCTACTTTTACAAACATCGTGTGCACATTCTTATTGATATTAAATGATAATTTTTTTTTGTAAATAAATAATTGATCAATTTATATTTATTCAAAAAATTAATTAATAGAATATTATGCAAATAAAAATTAATTTATGGCATTTTTTTAAATAAAATATTATAAATTTAAGAGTTGTTAAAGTTTACTTACAAATTTAAAGTGATACATAACTAAATTGTGTTATTTAAAATATGTCCATTGAAATTATTACAAATGTGAGTGATTTTGTTTCCATTATTTGTTCGAAATGAATATTCTGTGTTGAGCAGTATAGGCTAAATACCAAATATTTGTATGTTGCATCTCTAATTTAGTGGCAGCAGTTGTTGAGGTTTTTAGCAATTTTTGCTATAACAGGACCGTATTTGCACAAATTCACAAAAGCAGGAGCCTGGTTGGAAGAATGTGACTTAATGCTTATTTTAAATTCACAAATTATGATTAGTTTTTTCACAATTTTACAAAAACAGGATCTTTCATAAAATGTCTGGACACACACCCGTTTTTTTATTTCAAATATATTACAAAACTAATGCACTTTTCTAATAATGAAATTGTATCGAGTTCAGCAATATATACTATAGGTTAAGAAACCTAATTTCTATAGCTATAAATATTATCTCCATTAATAAATAATCTAAAAATAGCTTAATCCCACTATGGAGAAAGGTAACAAAATATATTTTGTGAAACACATTATTGTGCAAGGAAAATTTAATAAAATAGAATTGTTATGTTTCATATTTAATCCATATGGATCTAATGTCTATAAAATATATTAAAAGTTTCATTAAAAAAAATTAAGAATTAGGTTTTAGAACTTTTTTATAAAAAACTTGATTTCTGATTTCACCCCTATCATGTCCTGCATCATGTGTAAAACAGGTAGAGGCTGTAGATTTTTGCAGTGACCTTGGAAGTATCTCAAGAGTGGGGGGGGGTCTCTCTCTGTATATATATATATATACCATACATATATACACACCAACAGGGTTTGAATTATATGAACCTCACAAAATGACAATCAAGAATTTTAACTTCATGATTTAAATTGTTTTAAAATTAATGAAAGAAATTGTTTACCTGTAAATTATTTATCTCTAGTTTAACTGTATTTTTATTCTTTTTAAATTCTATTTTGCTGTGACATCACAACCCAAGAATTTTCCCCATAGGTCAACAATAGGGAGGTACATTACCTCTATATGGGAATTAGTAAGGAATGATTTGGTAGTAGTTTTCACCAAGAAAATGCAATGAGGACAGGGCTCGTGATTTTTTCGATTTAAATCAGATTTTTTTTTTTTTTATTCAAATACACTGTAAGAACTTTAATTCATAATTGAAAAAACTTTATAAATGCTTAATCAAAATTAAATTAATATTATAACAATATTTAGAACAATATCTTAACTTACTAAAATAATTTTCCATTATAATATTGAATGCATAGCAACCATTTTGAAACAAATGCATGATTGAAATTTAAAGACTAGTTGAAATCGAGAATTTAAAGAATACTTTATAGGTCTGTCTAGGTTTTTCTGAAAGGTACCTATTTTGTGAAAATGTAGACATAATTTTTGAAAATTAAAAAAATCAACACAAATGTGTTAAAAATTTGGATTTATCATTTCTTACAAGACACAAAAATAAAATTTTAAGAAAAAAGTATTTTGTGAAATTATTCCACCGTTTTCCCTACAGTTAAATTTGTGAAGGTACCAGTAAACGGTAGTAAATTTCACTTGGACAGACCCTTTTACTTTAACTATTAAAACAAAGTTTCAATTAGCAAACTATAATTTTAATTTATAATTTCTTTTTTTTTCTCTTGATTTTTAAAATGACAAAATAAATGTAGCAGACTGTGTTTATAAATGTAGTCATTCATCAAAAAATAAATAAATATTTAATCTATATATTTTTATATTAAAATATTCATTTTTAATTCTATATCAAAATAGATAAGTTAAGCTAAAAAAAAATTTTTTTTTTAAATCTATGTACTCATAGGAATTTTTTTTCACAAAATTTCCTTATAGAGAATCAGATGTCAAAGATACTGTAAACATATTATGAAAAAAAAAAAAAAATACCAGTTAATAACCCTACTGCATCAAATAGACTTTGAAAGGAAAGAATATCTGAATTTATTGGCCTTTTTTTTTTCTTTCTATTTTTGGCATATTAGGGTAATTTCTTTTCTATATAACCTCAAACTTCAGAAATATACATTTTCCACCAATAAAATATAATGTAGATTTTAATTCCACGCTTTTTCTTTCAAAGGGTAGAATTTCAATTTACATTATTTTTTGAAAAAATTCATGTTTAATAATTACTTTCTACAGCTATGCAAGTCTATATTAAGACATCATTAAATGTTTACTTTAATGTGTACTTTCAATCTCAAGAATCAAAAGATTTTTAAAAATGTAATTTCAAATGCGTTGGAATTTAACACACACCAAGAAAGAAAGTAATTTCGTTAACTAAAATTAATTTAAGTAACAATTTATTTAAAATAAATTTTAAAACTAAGAAAAGAAAATAATAAAAGTATCAATAATTTAAAACACTGTTTTTTAACTTTAATAATCAATATATATCAAAAGGAATTAGTTGATTTAAATCAATGATTTTTTTTAAAAAATCATTTGATTTAAGTCAACAAACCCTGAATGAGGGTATAATTTTTTTAAATTCTGTTTTGCTGTGACATTTGAATCGACGACTTTTCCCAGTCGATCAGTGATAGGGACAAATATTTCCTCTGTGAGGAATGATTAAGGGATGATTTGGTAGTAGTTTTCACTAGAAAAATGTAATGCTGGTATATATTTTTTATTCTGTTTGGCTGCAACATTTGAATCCACAAATTTTCCCAATCGGTCAGTAATAGGGACATCGGTCTTCAGTGTGAATTGGATAGTGTTGACTTAAATGTCCTTTCTGTGAGAATCCTTTATTACACGCACTGCATGAATAAGGTTTCTCTCCAGCCTGAACAACACAGTGTCGAACTAAGTCACTATTCTGTGTAAATGTTTTATCACACATACAGCATGAAGAAGGAGGTTTCTTTCCAGTATGAAAAAGACAGTGTTGAACTAAAAGTCTCTTTTATGTGAATGCTTTATTACACATACTGCATGAATAAGGTTTCTCTTCAGTATGAACAAGACAGTGTCGAACCAAGTTTCTTTTCCAAATGAATGTTTTATCACACATACTGCATGAATAAGATTTCTCTCCAGTTTGACGAATGTGATGCTTTAAACTTCCTCCCTGGTTGAATGTTTTACCACATACACTGCAAGAATAAAGTTTCTCTTCAGAATGTACAAGAGAATTTTCATTTAAAGTTCCTTTTTGTGTGAATTTTTTATTACACACACTGCATGAATAAGGTTTCTCTTCAGTATGAACAATACAGTGTCGAACTAAATCTCTCTACACATTATGGGATTAGAATCCAATTCTCTTTGTCGTCTAGAAGAAGAGACATCACAACCAGGGTTGGCAGGTTTTTGACATGTGACAGTTTTTGACAGTTTAAACCATGGTTTAAACCGTCATGTCAAAAACCTCACTGTCAAAAATGTCGAAAATGTCAAANCCCAACCCTGATCACAACACATACTTTATGATTGTGATGTCTATTCTGCTCAAAGATTTGAGCATTTAGGGCAGCATTGCATCAATGCCTGGCAACTGCAAGATGTTCCTGTAAGGTGCTTGCTTAACTTTATTTCAGTTATAGGGCTTTCTTACCAATCACGACTAGGGTTTGGGTACAATAGACCTCTGGTCGATGTGCCCAACTCGTCAGAGCTGCCCAACCTCTAAGTCTAAGTCTTTTCTGTGTGAATGTTTTATCACACACTCTGCATGAATAAGGTTTCTCTCCAGTGTGAACTAGATAGTGTTGGTTTAAAGTTCCTTTTTGTGTGAATATTTTATCACACACACTGCATGAATAAGGTTTCTCTTCAGTATGAAAAATACAGTGTCGAACTAAATCTCTTTTCTCTGTGAATGTTTTATCACACATACTGCATTAATAAGGTTACTCTCCAGAATGAATATAATTGTGACGGTTTAAACTTCTTCTCTGTTTGAATGTTTTATCACACATTCTGCAAGAATAATGTTTCTTTTCAGAATGTACAAGAGAATGTTCCTTTAAATATCTTTTCAATGAGAATCCTTTATTACACACACTGCATGAATAAGGTTTCTCTCCAGTATGAATAAGACAGTGTTGAACTAGGCAACTTTCCTGTTTGAATGTTTTATCACATACACTACATGAATAAGGTTTCTCTTCAGTATGAACAATACTGTGTCGAACTAATCCTCTTTTCCGTGCAAATGTTTTATCACACACACTGCATGAATAAGGTTTCTCTCCAGTGTGAACTAGATAGTGCTGATTTAAAGTCCCTTTTTGTGTGAATATTTTATCACACACACTGCATGAATAAGGTTTCTTTCCAGTATGAACATGACAGTGTCTAACTAAGTGTCTAATCTGTGTGAATGTTTTATCACACATACTGCATGAATAAAGTTTCTTTCCAGAATGAACAAGACAATGTTTACTTAAACTTTTTTTACTTGTAAAAGATATATCACATATACTGCATGAAAATAATTTTTTTCTAATATGAACAAGAGAATGCAGATTTAAATATCGTTTATCTGAAAATGTTATGTCACACAGACTGCATGAAAAAGGTTTCTCTCCAGTGTGGATTAGATAGTGTTGATTTAAGTTTCCTTTCTGCGAGAATCCTTTATTACACACACTGCATGAATAAGGCTTCTCTTTAGTATGAACACGATAGTGTTCAAATAAGTTCTGTTTTGCTTTGAATGTTTTAAAACACAAATTGCATGAATAAGGTTTCTCTCCAGTATGAACAAGAGAGTGTTGAATCAAGCTACTTTTATTCTTATATGTTTTATTACATAGATTACATGAATATGGTTTCGTTCCTATAAAAACAGAAGAAAGTTCATTCAAATGACTTTCCTGTGAGAAAGTTTCATCACACATTTCGCATAAATAGGGCTTTTCACTAATTAGAACAAGATAGTTTAAATTAAATTTGTATGCCCGATTGATTAAAACACTCCACAGGAATAAAGTTTCTCACCAGCTAGTTTAAGAGATTATTTTTACATAAAAGATGAATATTTTATGTAGACTATCTTTTCAAATTAGATTTTGGGGAGAATGTTTTAACACAAGCAATGCATGAATAAGACTTTTCTCTGCTGTGAACATGAAGGTATTAATTTGAACTATTTGTTATACATTAAAGATTATTCCTGAATAAACTGCAGTTTTCTCTTGTTTAGTATAAAAATATGTAGATTTATGAAATGTCACTTATTTGTGTAAAATATTTTGTACCGACTGTAAAAGAAAAATCTTTCAAGTAAAACAACTACTCAAGTAATTCAGTTACTTTAACTTTTGAATATGCTGGTACAAATACTGCATGAATAAGGTAGCTATATAGAAAGAACATGATTGTATTGTTCTAAATCAATTGGCAGCGTGAACTGTGATCACTTTACAATATGTGTGCAGCATGACTAAATGATGTTTTTAGGATGAAGATCGTTACGTATTTTTATTTTCTGCATGATATTTTTTTGTCAATAGTAGATGTATATATCTTTAAATAGTTGGAAATATGGTATTTTGCAGATTTAAAATACTGAAGAAGGTTTTTTATTGCCAACAACTACAGTAAAATGTTCGAAAAAGGATTTTTAACTTTTTGTTTATTTTTGATAGATATAGATTGCTTATAATGCAACAACCTAAGCGTATCCGGTTGCTTATTTTCTCCAAACATATATTTCAATAAAGCAGTAGATAAAAATGTTTTGTTTCAAAAAGGCTCTGAAGAACAACTCACGCAGCTTGAATGCGCCATCTAGCGACGTTATCATCTCCTTGTTGCCATTCTGCAGTATGGATGGGTGGTCTAATCCAGTGTTTCCCAAAGTGTGGTACGCGTACCCCCAGGGGTACGGGAATAGTTTAGCGGGGGTACGCGTTCTAATGCGAAATATTTTGAAACAAACGAAAATTTCAAAAAAATGCATTCAAAAACATGAAAATTTACGATTACGTATTTTTCTGTTAGCTATTTTTTGCAGAGATAACAGTTAATAATTAGTGGTGTCAACAGCCAGTTGTGATTTTCAATTTTTGAGCAATTTTTTATAGTAAAAAATGCATTCCTTTTTTTTATTAGGGGTACAGAGCGTTACGAAAAATTTAGAAAGGGTACACAAAAGTCATAAGTTTGGGAAACACTGGTCTAATCTAACAATAACAAGCGTCCTTAAACCGGAAAAAATTTAGAAAATTTCCGGTGTATCCCTCCGCTTATGTTATGACTACAAGGCGATGTGTGAACAAGCCTAATATTCCAAGCAGTTTTTTTTATTGTAATTTGGGTTCAAATCTAAACATAATTGTACCATTCATAAGAGCTTTCAGAAATGTATTGATTCTCAGAGGTCGTAAGGCCAAAACAATTTTTGGAAAGTTAATATCTCATTGTGAATAATTCTAAAGGTTTGCCATGTTTTGTATTTTATCCCTTATTTGGCTACATTTGAATAAAATGTAGCCAAAAATATCGTTAAAAATATCTTTTTAAGTTAGCCTAATTAGAAAATATTCTAATGATTATAATATTAATATGATAATGCTGAAGTTTAAAGGCTGAAAGAAAGAACTCGGTACATGTGAAATACTGCAAAAGATATGATGCAATAATATGATGGCGCGTTTTTTCAATCT